ACACCCACCACCATCACTGTCCACCACTGTCAGTGAGACGCTGCAACCACATTTATAGTTCTCCTTAACTCTCAGCATCTTCCTAGCCAGGCAGGCAAATAAGCCAAGACTGTTGGTCCCTGGGAGACAATTCACTTGCAGGAACTCACTGTGCTAAATATTTTCCTCCACTCCATTCTTTCTGGTGCCAGGTGCCAGGTGACAATTGTTAGAGGGGAGTGAATGAGCACAGTGGTGCTGGAGAGTGAGCTGTAGCGCTGCCTGGCTCTCACTCAGGGTGCCGGCTCGGATTGCAAACTGCACCTGTCTATGAGGGTGGAGCTCAGTGTTGGCAGCCTCTGGAATTCTGCCACAGGGTTTCAAGATGGCCAGTTCTCAGCTAAAACCTCAGGAATGATCGGATTATTTCCAGGAAATGTGTGTGTGTGTGTGTGTGTGTGTGTGTGTGTGTGTGTGTGTGTGTGTGTATCTCGTGGATGCACTATCTATGGCATAACAAGAAAAATTCCTTTCAAAGGGCTTTGACCCATGTAGCCTTCCTGCTCACAACCTTATTTTTACCTTCAGACGTGGAGGTGGGGTCTAAGAGGTTTTCAAAGGGGAAGGGAGAGAAGAAATTCAGTAAATCCTGGGTTTACGCAAATCTCCAGGCATGATGCTCTCTGAATGGCCCAGCTGGGGCTTTTTAATGCAGCAAGAAGCTGCAAGGTTGGAAAACATGAAAATGAGGACCTTTCAGGGCATACGGCCCTCCTTACAGAAGACGGATGGGAAGCCAGTGAGACAGAGGCAGCCTGTGAGGAGCCTGCCAGCTCTATACCTTACAGCGAACCCCGGGGGTCTGGGCATCACAAGGAGGAGCAGCTAGTAGACTGGACCAACAGAAGGCTGGGCTCCGCTGGCTGCCAGAGTGACAAGGGCTCTTCTGTTTCTAGCTACGTGTGCCTGGGATGGACATCTTTCTCTGAGTCATGTTCCTTGACAGGTCCTCATTAGAACAGAAACCACCATGGTAGCCAGCTAAGTGCCAAGATCAAAAATAACACAAAGCCAGGCGTGGCAGCTTATTGCCTGTAACCCCAGCCCTGAGGAAGCTAAGGCAAGCCTGGGCTACATAATGGGCTCCAGGCCAGCTTGGGCTACCGAGTGAGACTCTGACTCAAAAAAGGAAACAAAAATTAAATGCAAGAAACACAATGTCCCATTTGAAAGACATCTGTGATGTAGTCAAGTTCCCCCATTCTGAAGTCCCAGAAGGCTGTAAAGGCTTCCTGTGTAAATGGAAACATGCTTTAAACGGCATGGTGGCACATGCCTTTAATCCCAGCACTCAGGAAGCAGAGGCAGGTGGATCTATGTGAGTTCAAGGCCAGCCTGGTCTACAGCATTAGTTCCAGGACAGCCAGGAGACCCTATCTTGAAAAAAACAAAAACAAACACAAAAGAAACAAAAACCAACAAAATGAAGAATAACTGAAAATAAGGAGTTTCTGGGAGAGTCTGTGTTAGCCATTCACACCCTTAGGCTTTAACGCTGCATCCTGGAACACATATTCCACGATTTACTTTTTAGCTTGGTTAAAAAGCTCATCCAATCTAAAAACTGACAGTAAAGTTATATGTGAATTATATAGATGATTCCATATAAACAAAAACAAGCATGTATCTAATGAAATGAGAGAGAGCATTAAATACATTTAAGGATGAAGTCAAGGTCATACCAACTCTTCTTGACTTAGAGCTTTTCATAATTTAAACCCATGATACTTGGGTGTCCATTCAGACTCAAACAGAAAACACACTTTGCATTTTTGACAAGGTCATTAAGACTCACAGAACCTCTACAATTTCTGTCACTGTTCGATGTTTCTATTGGAAATCAAAATTTTAGTAACTTTGGTATTTAAGTCACTGAAATGAGTCTTTGTATTCACCTCAATAAGAATGCAATGTTTTCTTCAATCCCAGCACTTGGGAGGCAGAGGCAGGCAGATCTCTGTGAGTTCAAGGCCAGCCTGGTCTACAGAGCAAGTTCTAGGACAGCCAGGGCTACACATAGAAACCCTGTCTCAAAAACAAAACAAACAAACAAAAAGCCCAACAACAACAAAAAACAAAACAAAACAAAACAAATAAACAAACAAAAACAAACAACAAAAAGGTAATTTCTGGCAAAAAAGAAGTAGAAAATAAAATTTTGCTCTAACTCTTAGATTGCATGGTATCCCAAAGTGAGTGTACTAATCTGGAAAAAAAATCCCTCTGGATATGAGAGGCCTGCAGTCTGGCCCAGGTTCTGCCTCTTCCTGGTTGTAAGCTTTTGGTCAATTACTTCATCAGGACCCCAGCTTTTAGCTCTCCCCACTGGGCCTCCATCACAGGGATGCTCTGAAGACTAAGTGGAATGATACAATAGGAAATGGGTGTAGATCAGTCTGTAGAATGCTGGCCTAGGGTACACAGCCCCTCAGTCTAGGTTGTTGGCCTAGTGTACACGGGCCCTGGGTTTGATCCCCAACTCCACATAAAATGGTTTGGGGCCCACACTTCCAATCCTTGTACCTAGGAGAGGTAGAAGGATCAGGGTTCAAGGTCATTTGCTTCTCCATAGAAAGTGAGGAGCTAGCCTGAGCTACACAGGAGTGCTGAGATAACATCATGCTGGTAGCTACATTCTGACACTAGGAAATCTCACCTCACACACCCAGTGAGCTAGGAGAGAGCCCTTGTCCTGAGACAATGAGACAATGTTCAAAAGGACAAGGGAGCAATTCAAAGTCACACAGCTATTCAAAGCTAAGCTGCCAGTGTCCACAGGCTCCCTGTGGCAATGCCCCAACCCAGGGTGTGTCTCTGATATGCCCCAATGTGTTCTGTTATTTGTACACATGTTGGGCAATTTTAAAGGGCCTGTTTGACAAAAATTACATCTCTGAAAGATCAGATACATTATAATCAGACAAAGCAGTTTATACTTTAATGGGTCAAAAAATGAAAACCAGTAGCTCTCATTAAAATACATAGCTGAAGCGTTTTCCTCCATAATTTCTTTACATAAAAACTCTAAAAATATAACCTTGACACTCAGATATAAAAACAGCCCCATATTAATTATCAGTAATGGTTTTAAATAGCTAGTCAAGACTTCCGGAATGTGTTGTGCCTACCCAAAAATTTTTGCTGTGGTAAATGATATCTATCTCCATCACATGTCAGTCATATTACTTTCTTTAAAAACAACAACAACTTATTTTTACACGCATGAGTGTTTGTCTACATGTATGTGTACCATGTGCACATGGTACCTGGAGATACCAGAAGAGGGCAGCAAACTCCCTAGAACTGGTTGTGAGCTGCCATGTAGGCACTGGGCACCTTAATCTAGGTCCACTGCAAGAGCAGAAAATGGGCCTAACCACTGAGCCATCTTTCAGGGACCCTGGCTGTGTTGTTTGCCAAAGTATGGACGATGTTTAGGTAGCAAATGTGTGAGGTTAACTGCACACCCAATTCCTAGCACATCTCCATTGTTCAGGAGTTCAAGTAAGTTACAAAAGCCCGGGAAGACTGACAACCAACTCAGCTACCCGGCTACTTGGGTGCTGTGAGCGCCAGGACCCACTTTCAGATCCACAGCAACCCTGCCCTTGTCTCCTCCTTAACTATCTTTGTTGGCTTATGTGGTTCAAATCAAGGCAACACAAGATAGCATCCCTCTGAAGATCCTTCACTTAAATAGTGGCCTTTGCCACAGGCGCTTAGTTCCTCCCAGTGGAAAGCCCTGGGCAAAGGATTCTACAGAACCATATGCAACAAGGAAGCAGACACCCAGAAGGACACAAAGAGGATAGAAGGAGAAATGCCAGGCAGGGGATGGAGAAAAGGAGGCAGAGCCTGTCCCATCTACCACAGGAATTACTTAGGACAACTCAAAAGCTAAGTACTCAGTTGCTTGGGGGGCGGGGGAGGGAGGAGGCTACTCCATCCAAACATGTTCAAGTAGTTCAATGGCTTATCACCACCAGGACAACTTTTTGCTATCTGTTCCTCAATACTGTTGTGTTTTGCAGAAACATATCACAAATGGAACCCAAGAAAACACCCTGGTATATATTATATTTTGCCACCGATGCATACAAAGACAAAATAATAATATATTTTTCTAAGTGGTAGGAGATAGATCTTAATTCCTAGACACACACCTCCATTGCTTTGTACAGAGCTCTTGGAAACAATGCATCTCTTTGGATGCAAGATGCCATGCCAGTTCTAAGGCCGCAGTTAGGGGCAGTCAAGGACATGGGCAGGCATGCTGATGAGTCAGAAGCTCAGTGGCTCTAACTCTTGGAGATACATCTTATTAGCCTTGCGGGTGCTAATAAATCTCCGCTGTGCAGGCCAGGTGCCCTGCCTCCTTACCTTTGACATGGGGGAGGAAGTGGTGCCTGAAGGGGGGGTTGGGACGGGAGTCACTGTGGGTGGAGCTGAAGCTGCTGGTGCGCTGGGGGGACCACCTATGCACACCAGGGGACAAGAGCTCTGTGCAGCAGGGAATCAACCAACCAGGGCAGAGCAAGGTGGAAACAGAAAAGAAGGAAGAAATTAACACAGGAGCAGGGCAGGGGCCCAGGGTGGGGAGGGAATGGAGAGGGTTGGTTAATCAGGGGTCTGAAAGGGGGGAAGGGCTGAGGGTTGGGAAGGCACCTGTGGAGGGCTAGGCAAAGGCAGACTGCCGACTGGCACAGGTGGACACAGAGTCAACCTCTGAGAATAAATGGCTTGTCAAACACGGTCTCTGGGACACCGGCATGATGGTGCCAACTACACACTGCTATGACAGAGGAGGCCACATAGACTCGACAGCCGCTTTTAAAGTGCATTCAACAAAATGGCCTCCAGAAACCCTCGTAAACACGCAGCAATTATTTCAACGATCTTGAAGAGACGAACTGATATGTAAGGGCCATGTTTTGTTTTGCTTTCTAAGCTGCAGGCTTATCCTGCTGGAAATCGCATTTGATTTCACATTCCTTAAATGTGAGGAAGTCCCTGCTGCATTAGCTGGATGGCAGAGTTACACAGGATGCTGGCAACTCAACCTAGACTCAGGGAATTCAAACAGCATCTGGCATCCAGAATGCACAGGGTGGATACGTGGTCACGCCACAGACATACAGATATGTTACTGGTTTCACTTCTAGGCACCAAAAACATTTTGAAGGCTGAACGCTTGGTGTCTTGCATGTGCTATTGGGACAGGAGGCAGAGAATGTTCTGGAGGCTGTAACATCAAAACCATGACTAAAGAGGTAAAGCTTCGTCATGTTAAACATGGACAGGAGCTTTTAAAGCAACAACTGTGCTCAGTGCCTTTTCCCTGGCTATTCAAGATGCTTTCAAAGGACAATTTCCCTGCATGCTGCTCTGACAATGTCAGGGCAGAGCTTAGTGGTCTCAGCATGATATATAGAGAGTAGCACCAAAGTGATTTCAAATTACCAAAAGATTAAATAAAATCTCATGGCCAGGTACAAATAAAATGACTATAGTTATATACCAAAAAGGAATATCCTGAAAACATCACTTAACATAACTTAATAAATACTAAAAAAAATATGTTTAAGTCTCTCTCTCTCTCTCTCTCTCTCTCTCTCTCTCTCTGTGTGTGTGTGTGTGTGTGTGTGTGTGGTGCTGAATTGAACTCAGGGCCTCACACATGGTAGGCATGCATTAACAGAGCCACAACACCAGACCAGCCTTGTCTAAGAAACTGATCTATAATGAAAGATCCAATAGTTCAGTCCTCTGGGTGAGTTATATCTAAGACCTTGAAGAGAAGATTACAGCTTTTCTCCATTCTGATCATTCTTATTGGTTTTAATTCTTGTATATTTTATCTAAAAGTTAGCATTAAACATTCTCATTAGCCTGTCAGCAGTAAGAAGCTTGAGTACGAGTCCTCACAAGCTCTCAGCAGAGGAGTCCTCTAGATACATAGTATCACAAGTTCTCAGCAGAGGAGTCCTCTAGATACATAGTATCACAAGCTCTCAGCCCAGGAGTCCTCTAGATACATAGTATCTAGCTCTCTTAGAAGCCTCTCCATGACTCTTAGAGAACCCTGGATCACTGCTGGGACTTCCATTCTTCTACTCCACACACGAGACTTCCACTTGCAGCCACAGAGCCTAACCCCTGAATATCAGAACCCACCATCTGCTGCCACAGGATGGCCACTCCATCCCGAGGCTTTCAGGTTTTCCAAGTTTGATTTCAACTCTTACAGTTAGAGTGGAACTTAAAGTACCTGATGGGATTCCTGCCTTGCTCTGAAAAGGGCTTGACCATGCACTCACCATGGCATTGTATGTCTGGGGGAGGGCTTTAAACTTTCCAAGAAATGGCTAACATTGAGCTTTAGATGATGTAGATAAAATAAAAAAACATAAAAAAAGTTTTTTCAGAGATATTTCTTTTAAGTTTCGTAGGGATGAGATTTTCACCAATTCTTTACAAATATCCTTTGTTCTCAGCAGGTCAATATCAAAAGGTAATTTTAATAACTCCCAGTGAACACACCGATAGAATGACTGTTTTTTTTCAAAGATATAATTCAAAATAAAGATGGACACAAGTTTTTATTTTGTTCTTTGAAAGAGGTAGAAATATTGAAGTCAGTTTTTTTTCTTCCGTGTGTGTGTGTGTGTGTGTGTGTTTAATATATGCTACCAGTGGCATGAAAAGAGATTCACATAGATACACATTTAATAAGTAACAGATCCTGGGAAGGGTAGCCTTACCAGGTCGGTGGAAATGCTGCGGTGAGCGAGACGTGGTTGGAGTGTAACTGTGACGGCTGTACACAGGGGAGCTGATGGAGCCCTGGCTGGTAGACCTGTGGATCATCCGATCCCGAACATCCTGGTAACCCTGCAACGAAGTTTGAGAAAGTGTGAGACAAAACACCTTTCCACGACTATTGGGTATTTCTAGGTAAAACCCAGTCCACAGAGGACACCGGGGAATTGCTTCTCTAAGTGTCTGTGTTTGCCTTTCAGGGTTATAGTCAGTAAATATTCGTGGGCACGGGTATTCCATGCTAATGTGTTTTGCTCACAGTCATTAAAACTGAAGTTATAAAATCTACATATGCCAGCAGTACTCGAGCGCTAGGAAAAGAACAGTTCCCACAATCAGGTTGGTACTGAGGTTTTAGGGTTTACAAGGTGTCTCCCCTCCCCAGATGCCCAGATGCCTCCTCCCCGGGTGTCCCTTTATCAGATGCCATGATGGTTTGTCTTCGCCGTCATCTTGACAGAATTTAGAATCGTCATGGGAAACACGTCTCTGGGTGTGTCTATGAGAGTGTTTCTAGGGAGATTTAATTGAGAAGCCCCCTGTCCCCCGTTCCCTGCTCCCCATATAGTTGTCACTATTCCATGGGCAGAGGTCTTTGACTGAATAGGAATGAGTCCAGGCACCCGCATTAATCTCTCTCTGCTTCCTGAGGCTGCCATGTGACCAGCTGCCTCATTCTCCTGTAGCCATGAGGTCCCCAACTTGATGAACTATATCCTCAAATAAAATCAGCCTGCCCTTTCCCCTCCCTCCCTCCCTTCCCCTCTCCCTCAGACTCCCTTCCTTACACTGCTTTTCTTGGGCATTTTATCACAGAAACCAGAAAACTACTCCAAACATCTGCAAACGGTGAAGATTAGCGGACCCTGTGGCATTACCAACCCCCTCGGTGAATGTGAAATAAGGGTCCCAGCAGTCAGGGACCCATGGGCTGGCGTGTGGTAGGTATGTGCAGAGTGCACTTCAGAACCAACCCCGACGCTAAGCTTTTGTCTGGCCTCTAAGCCACACAGTGTCTAAGACTGCTCTGGGGACATCTGAAGTTCATGTTCCTGAAGAACAAGATGACACCTGAGATCATAACACTTCTCAGCCTGGGAACCAGACTAAGGAAGTAACTGTGCTCCTTATAACACCAGAAGAGCAGACCTTTGTATTATGTGCTCAGTGAGCTGGAGAACAGTAAAGAAGTTAGGGCACATCACTTTCATCGAACATAATAGTGCTCCAGGGGAATTGCCTATGCCCAGGCTCAGGGAAGGCTCTATCAGGCAACAGACACAAAACAAAAACAAAAACCCTATCTGCACAGAGATAAACAAACAAAACAAAACCAAAAACCCAGCAAAACCAAACAAACAAACATATAAACAAATGGCCTGGGAGAGCATACACAGTGTTACCCACTTCAGGGATTTGTTGCCCCAGGAACTTTCTGCTTGGCACAACACAGTAAGAATTTGAAAGAGCATCAGAATAACCAAGACTTTTAACACTTCAGTAAGCCTGGCCCTGTGAGCTTGACTGGGGTGTGGCCTAGTTGGCTGCAACAAAATAACAACCGAACCTCCCAGAGGATGATGTCCAATGTGAAGCTGGTCAAACTCAAGCACTTTAGGAAAGCTGTAAATTTCCAGTGTGTGTGTGTGTGTGTGTGACTTTGGGGTACACTATCTACAGCATTCAGTCACAAACATGAAAATGCCATGTGCTTTCCACCGTCTCAGAGGACAGAGCACCCGGACTGTGATCAGTCACGTTTGATTAAAAAGAGGAAAGTATCCAGCAAGGCTGCTGTGTGGCTCAGCTGGTAGAGAGCTTGTCTAGCATGCATGAGGTCCTGGGTTTGATCCCCAGCACCACATAAAAGAAGTGTTGTCCATGCCTGCAATCCAGCATCCAGGAGATGGAGTCAGGAAGATTAGAAATTCAACATTCTTGCCCACCAGTGGTGGCGATCGCCTTTAATTTCAGTGCTTGGGAGGCAGAGGCAGGCAGATCTCTGTGAGTTACAGGCCAGCCTGATCTACAGAGTGGGTTCCTGGACAGTCAGGGCTACAGAGTGAAACCCTGCCTTGGAAAACAAAAACAAACAAACAGACAAAAAAAAAAAAAAAAAAAAAAAAAAAACCTCAAGATCCTCCTCCACCACAGTGAACGCAGGCCAGTCTGAGCTCAGTAAGACCACTTAAAAAAAGAAAAAAGGACAATGATCCATCCACCAAGCTGCCTGGCTTTAGATCAGTCCAGAAGAAGTGACTCAGGCAGTGCTTAGAGATTGTGTTGTAACCTCCGGTCTCCTCAGGCTTTCTATTACGTTGGAGCCTTAAGTGCAGACAGGGACGAAGAGACCCACACTGGACAATGGCTTCAGTTGCCGCAGGCAGTGGTGCAGGCTAGGGTCAGCATGAGGCCACTGTCACTACCTTAAAAGTGTTCCCCTTAAAAGTGTGCTGCTGTCGTCTGGTCCTGGCTCGTGTGTAAAGTAATCTTTAAGAACCATCATAATCAACTCTGCTGTCCTTGAGGACATATGCACTTTTTCAAAACTTCAAGTGTAGACAAGGTCCAAGCCACTCCCAGCTCCACCCATAAATATGGCCAAAATGATACTTACTTCTGCTGATGGAGTAGGAGACAAAGTCCTTGGAGACTAGAAGAACAAAAGAAAAGTTAAAGTCAACACCTTCCTAACAGCTTTGATAGAGTTACTCATCATGAAGCAAGCTAGAGCTAGTTCCAGGACAGCCTCCAAAGCCACAGAGAAACCCTGTCCTGAAAATCAAAACAAACCAAAACCAAACCAAAACAAAACAAAAAACCCATCACTCCAAACACAGGACAGCATCTGCTGTGGGTATAAAGTGCACAGCAGAGCTGATGGGAAACTCCAGCCAAGTCCCAGGAGACACAAGAACGTTTCTACCCAAGGACCATGGTGTTAATATGTTGTGAAACTAGTTTTGACTATTTTCCTTACGTATTTAATTGTGTTTTGTGATATTTCTTCATGTTAGGACAGCCAAGGAAAGTTAGGATTTTGTTGATATGGCTTTTAACTAATTCAAACCATAGCAATTGCAGTAAAACAGTTGGGTCAGCATGTGATGACCCCTCACATCACACATCCTCCAGCACCTATAATTTTGGGTTGATAGGTGAAGTGCTGTCACCCCAGGATCTCTGATTGGCGTCTCCTCTGCCACCAGAACTTTCTAGACAGCTGCAGAATTCACTTAGCTCCAGTGAGGTCTGGGCTCAAACTCACCTCACACCTCCTGTGATCCCTGTTCATGTTCACCTGCTTACTTCCTGTGATCCCCATTCACACCCTCCTTCTCACCTCCTGTGATCCTGTTCACACCCTTCTTCTCACCTCCTGTGATCCTGTTCACACCCTCCTTCTCACCTCCTGTGATCCCGTTCACACCCTCCTTCTCACCTCCTGTGATCCCCGTTCACACTCTCCTTCTCACTTCCTGTGATCCCGTTCACACTCTCCTTCTCACCTCCTGTGATCCCGTTCACACTCTCCTTCTCACCTCCTGTGATCCCGTTCACACTATCCTTCTCACCTCCTGTGATCCCCGTTCACACTCTCCTTCTCACCTCCTGTGATCCCGTTCACACCCTCCTTCTCACCTCCTGTGATCCCCGTTCACACTCTCCTTCTCACCTCCTGTGATCCCGTTCACACTATCCTTCTCACCTCCTGTGATCCCCGTTCACACTCTCCTTCTCACCTCCTGTGATCCCGTTCACACCCTCCTTCTCACCTCCTGTGATCCCGTTCACACTCTCCTTCTCACCTCCTGTGATCCCCGTTCACACCCTCCTTCTCACCTCCTGTGATCCCGTTCACACCCTCCTTCTCACCTCCTGTGATCCCCGTTCACACTCTCCTTCTCATCTCCTGTGATCCCCGTTCACACTCTCCTTCTCACCTATTGTGATCCCCGTTCACACTTTCCTTCTCACCTCCTGTGATCCCGTTCACACTCTCCTTCTCACCTCCTGTGATCCCCGTTCACACCCTCCTTCTCACCTCCTGTGATCCCCGTTCACACTTTCCTTCACTGAAGTAACTTCCTAAACACTTTCACTGTAAGTCTGTGTCTTTGCAGACTGCCCCTGCTTGACTCTCCTTACAACTGTGTGTTCCTGGTAACAAGGGTGGGTACTATCAGGGACTAGAGGATTATTTTTTGGAGTGAATGGAATTTTTACAACTGAAATACAGACCTTCAACTAGAACTATAAACAGCATTTCAGAGGGCTCAGCCTGAGCAAAGGTGGGGTAGAGGGCTTCTTGCTTTTAGGATGTATTCCTTTCCCCATTTTATTAGCAAGCTGACGGGCTATCTTATTCACCAAGCTTCTTCAGGATCTGTATCTGATCTCCAGAGCTCAAAGCTTTGTTGGGTAAGGATGGCCTTGTCGTGCCTGCAGAAGTCAGGCATGAGCTTGCCAGCGGTGGGCTCCTTGATTCACCCAAGCTCAACTCAGGTATCTTAGAAAAGTGCTAAAACTACAGCAGATTTTAAGTTCACTTTGAGTGTGTGTGTGTGTGTGTGTGTGTGTGTGTGTGTGTGTGTGTGTAGGCCAGAGGTCAATGCCAAACACCTCCTTCAATTGCTTTATTTTTTGTAAAAGTTCCCTCACTGGACTTGCAGACTCACGCCAGTTCACACTGCCAGACAGCAGACCCCAGGGACCCCGTCTGCACCTCCCAGCCGGGATAACAGGCACATGCTGCCAAACAACACTTCTACATGTGGTCTGAGGATCAAACTCAGTCCTCACATTTTGTGGCAAGCGCCTCCCCACCCTTCTGGGTCTTTAAAATAATGCATGGATTTACAAAACAATAACAACAACTAATGGAATAAATAACAGAATAGATTGCAATGTTTATTCAGTGGTGAGACCCATGCATCTAAAGGTAACTTTCACATTAATGTATCTGATCTCTGTCACATAGAGGCATCCTCTATGTACAAAGAAAGACACAGCCACCACTGTAGGTGAGCACATAACAGAGTGGATCGTGAGAACTGGAGGGATGCTGAGCATCTTTGTCTGATGTTGTATTGGTCTGATCTAAAGACCTCTCTCCTTATGGAAAACCTGCCAACGTTCTAAGTTAGGAGGTCTCACATGCAGCCAGGTTTTAAATGCCCCAAACTTTGTTTCAAAGCCAAATTTCTGCTTGATATTTGCTGCTCCAGAGGGAGTTAATGGTAAAATACAACACAAAACAACAACAACACACATACACACCACCCCCAAGAGTGGCAGGCAAGTGTGTATATATATAGAATACACATTCACCTTTAACACTATTTTTTTTAAGTATCAATTTCCTCTTGGGTGTATGCTTTGAACTTGACCAGCAACTTGAGGGCTGGCCTTAATATACTTTGTTCAGGAAGCTTCTCTGATCATGGACTTGGTGAGATTCTGAGATCCAATGGTCGATAAGAGCTCAGGCCAATCACTGGCTACAGATGCAGTATGACAGGTGACCCACCAGGTGGCGCTATGTGAAAATTCATGACCCTACTTGCCTGCCTGGGAGTCTTAAAGCAGTCCAAGCTCTAGAATAAAAGCCACAATAGAAATAACTGGGATTAAATTCAATCGATTCACCACCTTCCCATGCCTGTTGGAGAGCGGTATTGAGATAGGATTTTACCTGATCCCCTGCCTACTGCTCCAAAGGATAGGCTGATGCCTGTACCTCGGGCCTTTTGTTCATCATGTGTTAATCCAGAAGCACGGTGGCAGGCTACAGACTACACTCTGGTTTAACCTTGGCTGAAGAGTTGAGTTGAGCCCACTACTTGGTAATAGCTCTCTGGAGTCCAATCAGGCTACAGATGGTTCCCATTAACATAATAAATAAAACAGGGGAGCTACATGAGTGCCATGCTGTGGGAAGCCATGCTTCTATTAGTCTGTTCCAGCTGCAATGATGACAATAAACATAAAGGGAATACTAGAATAAATCGAAGGGGCCCAGTGGTTTGCAGCCCCTGGGGATCCATTACCTCTCCAAGGCTCTGTCTCTCCTGCTTGTCCTCATAACCTGAAGTGTAGAATGGCTCGTAGGTAATGAGGTCTGGACGCTCAATATCATAAATTGCCTTGACCTTGGGGATGGCTGCTAAGTCCTTGTAATCCAGTATTTCATTGTCTACTTTTGCCTGGCAGAGTTAAACCGAGAGAAAAATTAATCCTGTATTTCAGCTTGTCGAGGAATTATCCTCAGTGCTCTTTACGCCTCGTTCAAAATGTGTCCTTTAAAACACACCACCCATTGGAGGCTTAAGAGTGTGTGTAGAATTCAGTGGAGAGAGAAATGCCAACCTTCAGAGCAGTTTCCTAATTTTATTACACACAGAGAGAAAAGAATCTCAAACAGATGGTCAACGGATCCTTGAAGGTTGATAAATACAAGTAACTACTCATTAGATAAGCTAAAAATGTAAGCACCTTTGAGACCACTCGAAGCAGCATCATGAGATGTGCGGTTAATCCTCGAATATCTACGCGCACGTTAGGTGCAACAATCCTTTTAGCCCTACCCCACGAGATTGCACTTACTTTCAGTTAACCTCTCGATAAGATGACCATAGATTTAATTATGGAAGGAAGCCTGACTCAGGTGCCGGAATGACCAAGAGAAATCGGGGTCTTCTAACAGGATCAGCGACCTCTATGGATCAGCTTCCCTTCTGGGACTCCATCTCCCGCCCTTCCAATCCAAACTCACCTGCTCCCATAACGTCTCTTCTGGGCGTGATACTTACATAGATGGTGTGGCCTGGTGAGCCAGGGATGCTGGAGCCTGGTCTGGAATAAATACTTTCCGAGGAGGTCCTGGTGGGCTACAAAAGAAACAGCAGGCGGCCAATCAGACGGGCCCAGGCATTCAAGCTTCCGGGGAAACTCAACCAGCTAATAAGGAGAGCCCTGCGCGGGTGGCGTGGGAGGCACAGGACACACTTGAAGGACACGCCCTGGAAACTAATGCCATGGAGCTTTCTTGGTCCTTCCTCTTCCTCGTCCTTTAAAGAACTTGGAGCATATCATGAAGCTGCCCACGGAGCTGCCCACTCTGCCCAGCTCCAGCCACCAGCTCTGCTCCCCAGAACCACGGCAATGCACACCCTTGCCCCAACAAGGGCTTCCTGCTCTCACCTCTGCCTTCCTGAGAGTCACTTGGCACTAAAGGGTTAATCTCAAGAGAGACCTTTGAAGAACCTGGTTCCTTGTCAACATGCTGCCTTTGCCAATAGGGACGATTTACCACGGGGACCTGGGGATCCCCGTGGTGCCTTCTTCCATGACTTCACTCATAACCTAACCCTCTCCCACAGAACAAGCCTTGTGTGCACGCGACATGGCTTTCTTCCTACCTGCTCTGCTGGCTGTGAGGGTGACTCTTGCCACTATTTCCCTTGGTTGGCTCTTCTTCACCTCCTCAGAGCCCCCCACCCCCACCCCGGACCTCTTCCTCAGTCCACAGATGGCTCCCTTGCTGATGTTTCTCACAGTCGATCCTAATTTTTCCCTCATGAATAAATCCACAGTGAGATGTTGGTTGATTTCCTGACATTGTGCCTACCCTCTAGTTAACAGTCTCTGCCTCCTGACTACTGGGATCAGAGCGTGCGCCACCACTGCCTGGCTTTAAGTCACTCCTTAAGTGCTGATGGCATGACTTTTTGTTTTGTTTTTCTTTAAAAACAAAACAAAAATAAAAAACAAAACTTTGAGCTTCAACTTTTCTACTTAAAAACCAAGAAGAAAGAACTCCCAACAGCCAAGTGTCTGGGCTGACTGAGAGGGTAGGGATAAAGCTCCAGGCATGGAGCCAGGCATATTTTCCGCCTTCCGCCTAAACCAGGACTCTTAGCCAGCTGGTCTCAGATGGTGAGGGACAGTGTCACCTGTGTTCTGTACCTTAGACAGGATAATCTGCTCACCTGTGAGCATTCAGAACAGTGTCTACCATTTGCTGCAGCTTCAGACCGTGGACTCACATGTGTCATAGCGTGTCAGACAATTTGTCACATCTGCAGACACATTCCTGCCTGGAGCCCTCAGTGTCCTCCCTCCCTGCAGGACTCTGAGCTGGGACTTCTACCTGTGGCTCATCCTCAGCATGGGGCAGCCCTTCCTTCCAATGGCCGAGGGCAGTGACCCTGCACTGGCCCGTCTGCCAGGATGATTCTGTTTGCGACTCCTCAGACTTTGCTCCGAACCGTAGGTTTTTGTCACAGCTCCTAATGGCTTTCTAGGTAGACTGTTCCAACCCATGGAGAGTAGAGAATTCTCCTTTAAGAAGTAAATTATTTTTTAAAGGCTGAATAATTATGCTTGGAGCTTTCATCCAAATGTTAAGAACTTTTACATTTTATTTTATTGGTTCTGGAATTGAACTAACAGCCCCATGCACGCTAGGCAAGTGTTCTACCCCCAAGCCCTCTTACTTATATCTTATATTTGAGAAGGAGCCTAAGTTGTCCAGGCTGGCCTGTGGACTCACTGTGATCCTCCTGCCTCAGCTTCCTGAACACCTGAGATTACAGTTTATGCTACCGTCTAGCTCCAGAATTTTACATCCAATTAGAAACATCTAGGATTATATAAGTCAATATATAATCTTGGTATTCAAAAAAAACTCCTATTTTCCAGGCTATTTTTTTTCCATAATGGATACAAGGCTTGCTACTGTTTTTGAGACATCTCCCGGTGGTCCAGGTTCTTCATTATGCCACCCAAAAGAAATTGACTTCAACCTCAAAGCCCTGGATTCCTGGGTGCTGTGCGTCTTCCAAAGCCAATGGCTGGCTGTTATCTCCTCAGCACGCTTTCCGGCACTCTCTTTTGATCTGAGAAAGTTGCTGTTGGCTTGTGTGTTTGTTTCCTGGTTTTAATGAAGAGAGGCCTCCCTGGTGTACCTCAAGCTCTCTTCAGTGACAGAGAAAGAGAGCAAAATGCCATGTCATCACTACAGTAGCTGCATGCCTAAAAACCATCTTTTATTTTTGTCCCCAATAAGTCTTTTAAATGCCTCTGACTCTCTGTCAGTTGACTCACCCCCAGAAGACCTTTGCCCTACTGCCCTGCTGTCAGGAGCTGCAGCAGCAGAAGAGAGGCTAAGTGAGGAGATCTCCTGATGTTTCCACCCTAGTTCACACTGCCACTTCCCTTCCGATGGAGCTGGGGAGCCCTCTGCAATGGTCCCCTCCCCCACCCCGCCCTTCAGCAGGTGCAAGGGAGCAGGGGCCACCACCAGACTAAAGCCGTTCTGAGCAGAGGACAGGAACTACGGGAAGTGGGAACCCAGATCAAAGACCTTAGGAGTGTCTAGCGGGCCAGCTACACTATAAGGTGCACGTGCACCTCATGCTGAGCGGGGCTGGTGATGACAGTACCTGTCTGGGGCTTTTGTTGGAGTTCACCAGACTAGGTGGTGACAACAGCTGCAGAGGAAGGAATCCGTTTAGAATCAGGTGCACACCAAATACGAGTAAACGGTGAACTGAGCTCCTTGGGGGAACCGTTTGTGTCTGGGGGAGGCGAAGGAGGACCCTCTAGCGCCCACCGTGGTTCCCAACCTTCACTGATGTTGCTGTTAGTTCCCGCCAGCCTCTGCCTGCCGAGGCAGCTACCCCAAGGCAGTTCCATCACCCGTCACCAGCTGCCTTCCACCATCAGCTTCCATGGTCAGCTATGCGACAGGCGACCCCTTAAAAAGTGTCTGCCAGGCCCAGCTCCAGCTCATGAGTCTTGCTTCTCTGGCCCTTTCCTCTGCCTTTTGCCTCTCACTCCTCTCCTGCCCCTCTTCCTTGTCCTGTCTCTTCCCTGTTCTGTCTGCCTCTCTCATGTCCCTACTGCAACATTACTGCTCTTTCTCCCCTGTAGTGGGATATTCACTTTGTCTCCTTCTGTGGCACTGACCACGCCCATTGGGGGGTGGAGCCATGGGCGGAGGTGACCTGAGGAAGGAGGTCGGAGGGGGCCAGGAAGGCGCTCTCTTTCTGGCGTGACTCGGACAGGAGAGGATTGGGTTGAATTTCCTGGTGTTCATCTGTCTAGGTTGTAAGTTATTTCTCCCTGAATAAACATCTATTCGGCCTATTTGTTTATCCTGATCCTTATTTACCGCAATACTCCCCCCCCCCATAAACCCCTTGCAGGAACTGTTGTGCATGGTGTTTGCTAACCCCACCTATAATATTTTGTGGCTACTCCATAACTAATGTTGTTACTGTTATGAATCATAATGTAAAAATCTGAGATGTGCACCTCCCGAAGGGGCTGTGACCCACAGCTGAGAACTGCTCCAGACACATACATCTCCCAACCAGAGACCATTGCCGGAATGCCATCAGCCTTTGGTGATGTAGGTAGCCAATGTGGGTGTCCCGTGTGACTACGATCTGACCAAAGAGGCCGGAGTCCCCAAACAGAGCAAACACACGCAATAAGGTAGTGGATATTGCGGTTCCATTAAAGAGACAGCAAGCCACATGACTTCCTTGTTCTAGACCTTGACTCATCAGCTCCTTGGAAAAATACCCACGTGGGATCTGCTTGGTATGTGACAGAGTGGCAAGATCGTTATGGTTCAACAGGTGAACGAGTTTCAGAAGGAAAACAGCTTTATGCTGTTTGGTAGGTCGGTCATTCATGCGCTAACCTTCAATGGACAGTAGCAGGAATGCCTTTTCAGAATGAAAGCAGGTTATTACACAGGTGGCCATGGTGTGTCCTGTGCTTGGCCTATCACAAATCAGCAATGCTCAGTATTTCCCCTACATGCAAAGATCTCCGCTGCTCACGCCACCACATAAACGCAACCGGAACCTGTTTCCTTTAAGTGTGGTCTCATCTTTAATTTTTATCAGTAATTCAGAGGGATGGAGGGAGCGATCGCTGAATGTAAATTTAAAACATTACTTTCCTTTTAGAAGGTGACTTTGATCAGGCAGCAGAACCAGGGTTTATTTCTGGGGTGTACAGTCCTGACTGCTCCCAGCGGGAAGGAGCAGAGGCGCCTAACACCCAAGGCTGCTTCATGTACAAAGCTGGGCTTAGGGCATAGGCAGCAGTGCACAGGACTGCCCTAGGGATGAGAGGGCTCAGAAGAACAAAGCCACTGTCCTGCTGGGGACTTCACAGGGTTCTGATCCACCCTGGTGAGCGGCCACCTTGACAAACAGAAAGCTTTTCCTGCTAGGTCCCAAGCTGTTTACAACTTTCTGAGTGGAGCTAAAGTTGACTTTCTTGATATTTATGGCTGAGTAATAGGAATCAGATGGCTAGCAAGGGAGATGTTATTAAAAACAGGTCTCCAACCACATTGCTCTGCTCCAAATTTCTTTCTCTCTCTCTTTCTTTCCTTCATTTCTTTCTTTCTTTCTTCCTTCCATCCTTCCTTCCTTCCTTTTATTCTTATTTTTATTTTTTATTTTGAGACAGCATTTCTTTGTGTAGCCCTGGCTGTCCTGGAACTTGCTCTGCAGACCAGGCTGGCCTCGAACTGATAGAGATCCACCTGCCTCTGCCTCCTGAGTGCTGGGATTGAAAGTGCCACCACCACTTGGCTTGCTCCAAATTTCTTAACTGAAATGGCCTGAGTCCCTCCCTGCAACTAGAAACAAATACCCCCCTTCCTCAATGAAGCTTGCGGCCAAGGAGAGACCCATCTGCAGGGGGGGTAACCTTCAGCTGCCCCTGAGCTCTCAGCAGACTTCCCTTCTGCCGTCTCTGGGAGCTTTGCCCCCGAGGCTGAGGTTTAAAGTTCAGTGATGATCGATCTTATGCTAACCAAGCTGGTGACTAGGCAGGTGCCATGGGCCAGGGCAGGCCTGAGGTCCGGAGTAGAGCCCCAGTCTGCGTGTGTCGCTGTCTGTAGCCTTCACAAGCCTTGGGCAACTGGTCTGCTGCCCCCTTCACTTCATGGGTGATGGAAGTTAGGGTCTGGTCTCTACAGGGATCCCCTCCACCTTCAACATCCTTTGAACATTTAACAAAAGTACATGGTGTTTGTAAAGATGGAAGCCCCATCCTTAGTGAGGGTCTGGAAGGCTCAGGATGAAGGAGGAGGAGGAGCAGAGATCAAAAAGCGCTGGGTCACAGCAGAGATGTGCCACATGTTGGCCCACGCCAGGCGAGTCTGAAAAGTTGCCTGTGGTTTCACAGCACAAGCTCTCATTGAAGAATCAGGACACTCAAAGGAGGTGAAGTCAGGCCTGTGACGTAACACCAGGTCTCCTCCTGCTCCTGAGGTGGGCCTTGGGGCCTGCCATGTTCTTCCTCATTCCAAGGAGGGTCTCGGGAGCAGTTAACACTCTCTGGTACCCTTGGTGTCTCCCTCACTGCCCACTGGAGGCAGACTGGAAAGCTAACAGACTCACAGGAACCTGAGTTTCCTGTCTCACCCAGGTAGAGACTGGGGGCATCGCCAGTGTTCCCTGGGAAGAGCTTAGGTGGTGGGGGGCTCACACCTTTAATCCCATCACTCAGGAAGCAGAGACAGACTGATCTATGTGAGTTCAAGGCCAGCCTGGTCTTCATAGTTAGTTCCGGGGCTACATAGTGAGACCATGTCTCAATAAGCAAAAAACAAAAAAATAAACCAAAAAATGAAAGAACTTTTGAGGTCCTCTCTCACAGACCAGGTAGACTGGCTCCTGCAGGATGGGCTGACTCCCCTGCCACTACCCCATTCTCTAACTATCCCTGCCCCCAGGAACTGCTGGCTTTGGCTCCCAGCTTCCAAGTGCTCATCTAGCTGCCCATCCCTCCCCATCTCCACGATTAAATCGTATCTGTGCTCCAATCCAAAGGCTGCTTCTACCCTCCAAGAAGTGTCCCCTTGAGAAGTGTCCAAGACCATGGTCCATATGACCCAGGTCCTACGATACACTTTGGGTCCATTTTTGCATCATCCATCCATCTTTTCTCCCCCTACAAAGCTGGATATATACCTTTCAGCCAGCACTACACAGAGTGCATGGTAAATATTTGTCCAGCGAACAGCTGTGGGAACACAAGGCCAAACAGCAGCTTCCTGTGAGCCAGCTTTAATCAAAACATCAGTTCAGCCATGGCTCAGAAGGAAAAATATGCATCAGGAAAAACAAAACAAAAACAAAAAACAAACAAACAAAAAAAAACCCCACTACTGAGTCAGGCTATGAGCGCACACTCACAGGGTAAGAAAAGCTGCTATCTGCTACAGAAGCTGAGAAAGTTAGGGGACAAAAGCGGCAGGAGGCGGGACATGGGAGGGGTAGGGGGTGAAGGGGAAGCAACAGGGGCCTGGGCCCACACAGCTGCTCTAAGCCTGGGCCCCCACACAGCGCCAACCTGTAGAGCTGGGGACCGTCCTGTGCGACGAATCAGACTTTTGGGATAAAAGAAATCAGATGAAGAACGCGGAAAGTTTGGAGGCTGCCATGAAACACGAGAGAAGGGAGAATAAATAACAAAATAGCCCCATTCATCCCTACGATGAAAAAATGACCGAAGGAAAGCAAAGAGTTAACAGTGGCTGACACAGACACTGGGCGCTCCAGGGGTCAATTCGGGCCCATGTAAAAAGCATATTAACTGGTCTTCCCATTGCAGTACACTTACCTACCTTATGCCCCCCCCCCCCCAGTCCCTTCGACTTATTTTGACACTCTTGTGCTTGCAGTACAAAGATAAGAAGCCTCAAGCGGGAACCTAAGGCTGTTGTCACGAACGCCCCATGAGTTCTTAGATGTCAGGAATGTGCTTCACTCTGGGGTCGCCCAGAGAGCTTTCAAACATTTTCATTTTGCTATGGAAACAGCTCTAATTTGACATGTGGAAAGAGGCCTGGAAATCTTGGCTCAAGATGTGTGCGTAGACACACCCTTAAAGAGCACAGGATTAATTCCTCTGTTCAAAAAAAAAAGTACACCCCTCTAAGCCTCACCAGCATCAGCCTGCACCCCAACTCTGGGCCAGAACCCTCTGGACGAAGCCCATCCCTTACTTTTGTGTTTCCAGAAGACAGGGAGCTAGAGCCGACCTACCACCCAAGGAGGGCAACATGGAGAAGAGCTCTGGAATTTTCTGGAAAGCTCACTAAAGGAACAAAACAAGAAGAAACTCCTCTGGGCCAGAATGAGTGAAATGGTTCACTAGATTCCGCATGATCTTTCTCGAGAGTTCCATTGAGATATGTCCGAGTCCCTTTGTTTTTTTAATCATGTTAGGAAGAGGGTCTACAAACTCCAGCTATCCTTATAGAGAAAATATGCATATTCCATTTGGTCTGGCCTCATTATCATTCCTTCCAAAGACTTTATCAGGGATGAAGTTAAAAAAAAAAAAAAAAAAAAAAAAAAAAAGATTCTCTAGAAAACAAAAAGCTATTCTGTAGAGAGGGTGGGAATGATGGGCTACTTGGGTGGTTTGTGGGCAGGAGTTCCAATTAGACTACAATTTTATATTGTTAGGGCAAAAGTGTCTACAGGCAGCAGCTCTCACATTCAGGGGAGGTAGCCTGTGGCCCAAACACCCATGCTTCCTCTAGCTCAGCCTGTCTGCTGGATGGACGGACTTCGGGGCCATTAGCTGTGTGGGTAAAGTAGAGCTGTCTGTCAGAGGCAAGGAAAACCATCCCAACATTGGTGACCAAACCCTCTGCTGCTGCCTTGACAGCACAGGGCTGATGTCAGCAGCACCCTCGCCTAAGGCGTTACCCCTGATTGGCTGGCACCTTTTGTAGCTGGAGGCTACAGAGTCTAGGCTAACGTGGTGCATGATGCGCTAAGCCCAGAGGGTCTCCTGGGCTGCCTGATGAATCATTTTTCCCTAGCTGTGAGACCATTTCTTTGGACATTCTCCTAAGGTGCTGACTGGTCAGATACGGTTGACAGAGTCCAACGCAAGCACAACAATTACAACGCATTTGCAGTAGGAGGGACCCTCTTTCCTGGCCAAGTAGCCTTTGACCTCAGGTTTTCTATAAGGGAAAAAAAAAATGCCTAAGAAAAATGATTTTCTCCAATGCCCAGGAACTAGTGGCCACATGGCGACGCCCTCCGGAGCTCCCTGGCCCCATCTTACCCGAAGCTTCTCGTCTGCCTTGGTGGATTGTTTACAGTCGGGATGCCACACGGTAGAACCTGGGAAGACACAATGGACCACCGCAAATAAGAGACATGAAAAGACGGCCCAGTTCTGTTGAACACACTTTCCAGGGGGGTCTCAGGCCCCTCTGTCCCCAGAGTAGGGTCCACCCACATGACCTATGACCCTGGGTGAGTTCTCAGCTTGCTCTACATCAGTTACAATGCTAGGCCACAGAACTGCTAGAGAGCAGTCTAACATAAGAGATGTTTCACTATTAAGGGGGTCACTTTGGTTTCTGCTGTTGTTTTGCTTTCCGGCTCCAGGATCCCCTATTTTCAGGCTGTGAAGAGCTGTCATGGTGATGTAGCCATCAAAGAATTAAAAATCTTAAAGTTCTTATCGTCAAACCCCAGCACCTGCCATATGATTCTGTATGACTAGATACATAATAGGTGTCATACACATGTATGACTGTGGGAGAGGATATGTAAATCCTGTGTCGACATATGGGTTTCCTCAGACATTTGAAATTCCGAAGAACACAGCTCACTTGCAGAGAGTTAAGACAGTGACATCACTGGATGGAAATTGGTGACTGGTATACCGCAGTGGCACAGAGCAACACCAATCTTTGTGTATATACAAAATCAGTTCAGCTTCTGGTAGAAGCCATCAAATTAAGTCGGTAATGATCATTACTTCTGTCTCGAGGTTTCTATTGCTGCGAGGAGATGCCATGACCAAGGCAGCTGCTATAATGCTGTAAAGGAAAACATTTAATTGGGTGGCTTACAACGGAGAGTTTCAGTCCGTTATCATGATGGTGGGACCTGGCACCCTGCAGGCAGATGTGGTACTGAAGATAAGGTAGCTGAGAACTCTACACCTTGAACAGGAAGCAGGAAGTGGTCTGAGACACTGGAGGTAGCTTGCGCGTATATGACACCTCAAAGTCAACCTCAGCAGTGACACACTTCCTCCAACAAGGCCGCAATTCCTATTAGTGCCATTCCCTTTGGGGGCCATTACTTTCAAGCTACCACAGTGCTGGGCTAAAATACTATCAAAGACAAGGACACACATTCTATATCAGAATAACACTTCAACCTGTCGATTAGTCATTTCTACTTTGCAACACAGAAGAAGAAGAGGAGGAGGAAAAGGGGGCGGAGCCAGACAAGAAGCAGATGGCCGTGCAGGTCCCTTCAGCCCCGACACTAACTCAAACTCTGACTATAAAGCACAGGAAATCTCTTGATGTGGAGAACCAAAGGGTCCAGCCCAGGCCAGGAGGACCATTTTCTGGAAGGTTCTACTAAGCAGGAAGGAAGCACCAGATAGATGCACAAAATGCCAGCAGTGTTCTCCAAAGTCAGACCCTCTGGGAACGCGACCTGAGAGAGCATCAGATGCTGAGGAAAATGAGGCTAATTCTCAAGGATGCACCACGAGCAGGCAGTGGGTGGTACAGCTTCGCTCCAGAGGAGACCGAGAACCAGCACTGGGGCTCCCAGTGCAGCTCGTCTGGGAGGTGACTGGACTTGTGTGCAGCCTGGACCCAACGTGAATGAACATCCAGAGCCACGAGGCAGCCTGTGTCTCTCCGCTCCTAGCAGACACAGGCTGCCGTGTACTTGGGAGCATGGAAATGTCGCAGTAACTGCTCCAGGCTTGGAGATACACAGAACTAACCAGCTTTCTGCAAAAATGCAAAGTGACACTCGCCCAAAGCCATTGCAGACGTATGACTAGTCCATGGGGAAATGTGTCCTACAAAGCCCCTAGAGACCACAAATGTGGCACCTGTCGCTTGCCGTCGTCAGCACTCAGCGGTGTGTACCACCACAAGTTTTCAGAGCCATCCGGCTAGACCAGAAAAGGCATTGAACTGGCAGTTTCTAGACCCGCGAGAACTACTGAGAGGAGAGAGTAGTCAGGCCTGCCTTTTAACGTTCGACATATATGTCTGGAGACTTTTCCTTCTCGCACAAAAACAAAACGAAGAGAGGAAAGCAAACTACTCATTAAAATCACACATAGTGTTATGTGTTAAGAGAGATGAAGACATGATGCCGAGGCAACCAAGACCCCGTAATTACCAAGCTGAACAAGCAATCGCTCTTACAGCTTGAGCTAATTGTACTGATAAATCCTTGCCTAATTAATGACTCTTCCAGCTAAAAATAGCAGAATGCTCACATTCATGGTGCTGTTTGGCTGGAACAGGATCTGCGCTTATGGCCTCTCCAAGAAGCTTTGGAATATCAGAATCAATCAGTTTTACACTAGAGATGTTTCTCAAAATTATTTTTAATTAAAAAAAAAAAAAAAAAAACAATGCTATAGGTCCTTGGGAATGAAGGCTTCTTTGTTACCACAGAGATCTTACTCCTGCAGAGACTGTGGGTGTGTCCCCTCTCAGCCTCCGTTTCCATATGAACTGTGTCCTCTTGCTGGAACAATGGCTGTGGCATCATTCTCCAAAGCCCAGATGTCAGAGCAGGCTTGGACTTTAAAAGTCCTTCACCAAAGAGAGGAGAAAAGGCTGAGTGGCAGGCACAAAAGCAACATTTCTCGAAACTTCTAAATACTTTCTCTCTCCTTTTGATCTTTTGTTTCCCCAAACCTAGTCCTGGGAAGAGTTGGAGGAGCATCAGCTGATCCTCTCTGGTCCCTCACAGCCACAGGACCAGGAGTCTTTGTTGCAGTAGATGAGCTCATTCCATAGCAGGCTCTGGGGCTCACTGCCAGTGTGTTGATGGCTCTGCTGATTAACACAAACTGATGAAGTAACTTCTGGCACACTCCTGTCTAGTAACCGCTTGGCTAATAAAATCCTTCCTTCCCTGAAACACAGTTCAACAAACGCAGCAACATGCTCTTTCTCAGGCGGGGCAGGCCCACTCTGCTGTCCAGCCATCTTACCTTGAAGATACATTTCTTCCCCTTCTGTGAACATCTGGTTGCATCTGCTGCATCGTGCGCAGCTGGGATGATAATGCTTGTCACCTGCCTGCAAGAGAAGAAACAGAAGACATCATGCGCACTGCATTAAATGGCTCCCAAGGGCTTAGAAGAAAATGAAGATTTGAGGAAGGAAAAACAATTGTCAGGTTGGCCAAACTCTCCTTCCCATCAGTCCTACACGGTAAAGCCGACCTCACTGTGCCTGGATGGGACTCTTGGGGAAGTTCATTCCCAGAAGGATAGTGGTCTTGTCTCTTGCGGTTTCTGGCTCTGAATCCCTCTTGATCTAGGCTTTCCAGAAGGTTTGCCAGTCATACGACTCAAACCGGGAGAAGACCAGTCTGTCTTCCCAAAGTTCCACCTTAAAACTAACGTAGAAGCTTATGTTGGAGGCTGAAGAAGGGTAATGTTAACCCACTAAAAGAAGTGGCCCAAAGAACTGAGTCCAGTCCCTAAGAACCCAGGTAAGGAAGCCCAGGAGGTGGAGACGCATGGATCCCTGGGCTCAGCGGACTGCCTGGCCTACTCAAACACTTCAAGGTCACGTGATAAAAATCTGTCTCAAAAATCCAAGTAGATGGAGCTTGCAGATAACCTCTAGCCTCCAGGTGCACACGCACACATACACACACACGAACACATACACGAACACACACACGCACACACACGTATGAACACACACCTACAGACACCCAAATGAAAATGATCCAATTTAGCATACTTTTGCTTTCTTGGCTATGTTATCAGGAAATAATCAGATCTATGCAGCTTATGCCAAGGGCAGATGAGATGCTTTTAAAAGACATCATTTATTGCTTTTGTCTTAAAACTCAGGTTTCTTCTGTGCTGTTTATATCCACGTTTGACGAGGTCTCGTTGCACGAGTTCCCAGAGAAAGCATTTTACTGAGGTGGTGCTACAGAATTCTCTAGCACTTCATATGCCTAAATATGACAGATGTCATCACAGCAAGTGTCAACTTCCCAAGGCAACCCTGTCACTGGACACAGGGACAATGCTCTGGACAGGTGTCAGGTCACATTAGTGTCATGGTCCAAAAGCAAGCTTGACCAAAACAGGACTCATGGTTCAACAAAGGTTCTTCCTTCACCTCAGAATGGTTAAATATGCTCTGCGACCAAATCATTTTTATCAGTCCACGTGAAAGCATTTCTTATGAACTAACCGTGGGCAGTAGAAGAGCTAAGAAAGAGAACTGGCTGCTTCCTGCTCCCAACCCTGTGTGAAGCCTCAACAGGAAGCCAGGGGCTTGGCGTGATTCCTGTCTCACATCCTCCTACAGAAACTACAGAGGCCCTTATCAGCAGCAATGAGAGGTGACAGAAGGCTACTCACGATGCTCAACCAGAAAATAAATAAATAAATACATAAATACATAGATAAAAAATAAATAAAACCACTAGGGGAATTTAAAATAGAAGCTATGACATGATATTTTTCAAAGGCATCTGCCAGAAAAACCCCAGAACTGGTGGTCTTGTAGTTTACTAGCTATTTCTTATTGATTTAAAAACTCCAAATTTTATTTAGGGGAGGATTGTGGGACAGGGTGGCAAGCAGCAAGAGAAGTTAAGATGCGTGACTATAAAAAAGCTTGTGCCTTTAACATGTACAAAGTCAGGTGTGAGCAGAAGGAAGAGGAGAGACCTTCACTTGGTTACTTGGTTTCTAAGCCAGACAGGAATGTCAACACAGAGGGTCAAGGCAGTTTGGATAATCTCTGTGTACTCGTGGAACTGAAGGATTAATGAGTCCTTGGCAGGAATCTGCTATAATTGGTGGTAAAATGCACAGCCCTAAATGAACTAAGGACACAAAGAATTACACCTGGTGGATAAAGTTGGTTTGCCTTCACTAGCAGTGAAATGTTAGAAAATTCTAATTAGATACAGGGATAAGACACCCTAAAGGTCTGTGGCCCAAGCCAATGTGAGAAGTCAAGAAAAATAAGTATAAAAAGGTCACAAATCAAGTTAAGTACACACACACACACACACAATTTCTTATTAATGGAAATGCCATGGAAAAATGGGTCTCCATTTGTAATAGTAACAAATAAAGCAAAGCAAGGTGTAGGTACAGACATGTACATAAGACCTTAATAGACGTAACTCAAATTTTACTAAATATTGTCAAAATGATGATTTATCTACGATCAACCTGTAGATGCAATGTTTTCTGGATCAAAAGGAAGGCCTCAGAGACATTTCTTTATCAATGACAGAATGCCTCTACACATTCATATGAAAAACACAAACATAAAATTTTCAAAAAGACATCAGCAAAGAAAGGGCAGCTTCCCTTTTTGATTTAAAAGTTCTGGGCTAAGGTAATTACCATGAATTAACACCATCATGGAAACCCAGAGCACAGAGAATGGACATGCCTACACGCACACCCAAGAGACTTTATTGATCATCAAAATCAATTCCGAAGGAATTGGAATAGTAGGCTTTTCACTAAATGATGAGTATAATGGGTTGTCCATTTAGAAAAACATAAATCTCAATTCCTTATACAACCAATTTAAAAATTTTTTATGGAACTTATGAAGACCAAAATGGAAAAGTACAGAATTATTGGGACCACAGACTTTTTATATTGCTAATTTATTAAAAATAAACAGGTTAGAAAAGCAAAATTTAGAAACAATAAAGTGAAATATTACTGATCTATATACAAAAATACAACACTGTAGACAGAAAGTTAAGAGAAATAATACAAAGGATTAGTCAGAATTATGAGAAGTATCTGTGCTGAGACACAAATGCCAATATGGGCGGTGGGCAATTTCCAAAGAAATTGTGGGTGATTTATAAAAAAAAAAAAAATCAACAACAGTGCAGGAGGAAGAGGAGGGGGAAGGAAGGGCAGGCGAGTTAGTAAGGAAGTAAGCAAGTTAGTCAGTAAGGTAGTAAGCAAGTGAGCTAATTAGCTGGTTCACCCCTAGCAGTAATAATCAGGAAAACATGGATACCGCTCTTTTCATCAGCCAGGGAAGGACGGAAGGAAACCAATGTGACGAGGTAGGTAGGAATTCTATATGCTGTTGGTGACCGAAGAGGAGAGAAAGCACATTGTGTTAATTGTCACAGAGATGGTGGAAGGTGTCTCAAAGCCAACAGGCAGGGCTTTATTCTGTAAATCAGTAGCACAAATACTTCTAACTGTCACACTGAGAGAGAGGGATATATGTATCTTCCCCCATGTGCTTGGTCGAGAGGCCAAATTCAGACATGTCAAGGTTCTCAGAAACAAAGGTCAGCCTCGAGTCTTTGAGATTTTTCTTCTCTCTGCAACAGTGCGTGCCTAAGGGCCGAGGACAAGAGCCCCTGCTCCGTGTGGGTGAGCCACCATGCTTCCTTTCTCTTTACGTGGACACCCACCCGTGACAGTTCACAGACCAGCCCTGTGTACAGGGTCAGGGACCGAGTCAGAGCTGAACATACGTGCAGGGCCATATGCAAACTGGGCGAAACTCAGACGCAGCTGAACCCACAACTCACTTTAACTGGAGTCATTTTTAAAAGGGAAAGCTTTCAGATCATGAGCAATAACTATCAAATGGAGAGCAAGCATGCCTTATCATAGAGAATGCTAGCTTGTAAAGCATAGCAGGGACTCTGTGGTGGCAGGTGGCAGTCTGAGTGGCGGTGTGTTGTGCCTGGCACTGGGCCCCAGGCATATAGCTTGCAACTCTAGCTGTGCCTGAGCCTGAGAGACTAGACAGGTCATTACATGCCAGAGTTTGGCAATTGCATTCTCCACTAAATAAATAAATAAATAAATAAATAAGAAAGAAAGAAAAGAGAGGAGAAAGAGAGAGAGAGAGAGAGAGAGATCTGAAAATCTGCCAGACAGGCAGCTCATATCTGTAATCCAAGCACTTCTGAGGCTAAAGAGAGAGGAGGGTTGGACACAGTCACCCTGGGCTGACAGCGGGTTTCCAACCCCTACAACCGCACAGCAGCCTTTTAAGTACTTAAAACAGCTCTCGGAAGGCAGAGGGAGGCCGATCTCCGTGAGTTAGAAACCAGCCTGGTCTACATCACAAGTTTTAGGCCAACCAAGCCTTCACAGTGAGACTCTGCCTCAAACAAAACAAACAGTAAAAAACAAAAAATTCATATTAGGAGAACACTCTAGCTAACATGAGATGCCACAAGAGACGCAGTTTGACTACTTAGCTGCATTTTCTCTCTCTAAGCATATAAAAACCCAATATAAACCAAATAAGCCACTTGCCCTTAACAGTGATGATCACTTTGATGGTTATTGTACAATTTGGCCACTCCCTCACACATAAGCTAGAATTCCGAGGAAACGCTTTCTATCATAAGAGTTGATGTAAGATGCCAAGTTTTTTATTACACCCATGGCTGTCTGAAAGAGAAGAAAGACGTTTTCCATTTCTTATGAGCATGGAAGAGCTAAGGCTTGGGAATCAGCTCTTGGTAGCCACACAGCCTCACTTCTGTTTCTACTTACCTTCAGAAGCCCTAGGACACTCTCTGAAAAAGTGCTCAGGAGTGTCAACAACACAATTTCACCGCCCACTCAGGTGTGAGATCCTGCTTGCCTGTGAAATCCTGTATTAATATATACAATGGCGCAGGGCTTGGGAAAGCCACTTGGGTAGGGAGAGATATTCTTGGTGGTGGGGACAGACCTTTGCCTGATACTTCACAGTCTCTGAAACTTAGGAGGGATTCCGAGGCCCTGACTAGCCCTGGGCTGATTGTCAGGCTATAACAGAGCTATAACCATGGAGCCTTTGCCGGTACCACAACCGTCTGGATTCCAGGCTGTGACCTGTCCCTGTTAGCTTCTCTCTATCCTTTTCCTGAAGTGTACTCAGACCTGAGTCCTTGAGGTTGACCTCTGTTAATTCATCACTTAGGTCCCGCCCTCCTGAAGGACTTGGGGCTGGAAGGGTGCTGTTGGAGTGGGGGTGGGGTTTGAAACAATTGATGGAAAGGCTCAAAAGCAGCCTGCTGTGATCTGAGCACTTTGACATAAAGGCCT